CAATTAAAATTATTTTTTCTAGAATGATCAGATTATAATAGATAATTAAAATTATTTTTTCTAGAATGACTGCAGATTATAATAGACAATTACAATTATTTTTTCTAGAATGACTGCAGATTATGATAGATAATTAAAATTATTTTTTCTAGAATGATTGCAGATTATAATAGATAATTAAAATTATTTTTTCTAGAATGACTGCAGATTATAATAGACAATTACAATTATTTTTTCTAGAATGACTGCAGATTATAATAGACAATTACAATCATTTTCTCTAGAATTACTGCAGATTATAATAGACAATTAAAATTATTTTTTCTAGAATGACCAGATTATAATAGATAATTAAAATTATTTTTTCTAGAACGACTGCAAATTATAATAGACAATTACAATTATTTTTTCTAGAATGACTGCAGATTATAATAGATAATTACAATTATTTTTCTAGAATTACTGCAGATTATAATAGATAATTACAATTATTTTTTCTACAATGACTGCAAATTATAATAGACAATTAAAATTATTTTTTCTAGAATGACCAGATTATAATAGATAATTAAAATTATTTTTTCTAGAATGACTGCAAATTATAATAGACAATTACAATTATTTTTCTAGAATGACTGCAGATTATAATAGACAATTACAATTATTTTTTCTAGAATGACCGCAGATTGTAATAGACAATTACAATTATTTTTTCTAGAATGACTGCAGATTATAATATACAATTACTATTATTTTTTCTAATGATTTTAGATCTTTATCCTTTTCACAAATTCTTTGATTTTACTGCTTTATTGATCTTTGAACTGTCTAACTATCATAACAAAGCAATAAATCACTCATCGAGAGCAGGGAAAGCTTTAGGTAAACCAAAAAGTTACATAATGCAACAATACATGCAGTAGTTTATGTGTATTCTCAAGGAGAAATTCTTTTAATTTTTCTTCATTTGAATATTCTTATACAACCTAATAAGATTTTAATTTTTACATTTTAGTTACTTTTATTAAAACATGTATATCAATAAATATAAGATATACAAGAAATGTAACACTTACCTTTACCTTGAAGACTTTTGCACTTGGGTGCCTGTGTTTGTAAGCTTTCTTTTTATAACTATGTTTGTTGTCCCAAAAATAATTAATGTAGTTTTCAAATATACATTTTAAAACATAAAAAGTACATTAGACCCTAAAATAAATTGTCCTAAAACTACTGTAATTTATCTGGCTTTCTAACTAAGTTACAAATAGATTTAAAAATTCCATTATTCTTTGGAACCCCAACTTCAATGTACATAACTCAAGAATCTATTTGTGAAATTGAGTTTCAGCAGGAAAAACAGACAGTCATTAGAATCATGTAGCTTGCAAATGACTTTTATATTGGTTATAAATATTTACCATTGACAGCTAAGCATGAGCAAACAAGTAATTTCTTATTTAATAAGTGGGCCACAAATAACCTAACTGTTGATATTGTAAAGTCCTTCACAACTTTTACATGAGAAATCAGACATTCTTCATTGAGAGGTATCTTAAAATTTGTATTTTTTTTTATACTAGATTTTATGGGAGATGGAGAAGCAGATATGTTTACCTTTTCAGAAGAGTCTCAGGTAATGTTTAATTTGTTATTAAGTGTTATCTGTGTTGTAATTGAGAATGTATGAAAATTAGTACTAGTCCTTCTTCTTTTCTTTGTTTCTATTCACACATCATTGGTACAGTGAAATATTTTAATGAACCTAAATTAGGCTGAGCACTCAACACTTATTTTGCTTTTATTTTTCTTAAGGAGTGCAAGACTTCTATGATGTATCAAAATGGAAGTATTTCCAAACATTTTAGTTATCACACACAAAAATATTGTTTTGAGAAATTATAAGATTAAAAATTAAATTGAAAATAGTGTTTGATACTGTTTTTCATAAGAATGTGTACTTTGTCAGCCAATTGAAATGAATGGACCTTCTGAATCAGCATTTCCTCTAAATTCTGCATATCAAACCAAATCTGTTATTCAAGAAGAACCCGAGAAGATCCGCAAGTGGCGAGAAGAGCACCAGAAAATGTTGAAAGAAAAAGGTAACATTAAGATTTATGCTTTTTTTTTGTCTTTAAATGTTTCCAGAGTCTTGTGATCAGTGGTGATTAAATTTTTCAAACAACTAATTAGTCTGAAGTTACTGAAATTAAAAGCAGTTGTTACTTTAGCTCAGTGCTTCCCAAACTGTGTGCCATGGAATTTTTGTAATTATTAAGTAACTTATATTTAGTAATGTAAAGTTATTACCAATTTAATAAATTTTTGAAATTTCAAATTTGATTTATTTTCTCCCTGATACACAGTATAACAGTAGTTTCTGCCCACCTTAGTCAGGGGTGCTGCTAGGCCTACCATACAGACTTATTTACATGTGCCACACAAAGTTTGGGACATTAAAAGTGTGCTGCGAGCTTAAAAAGTTTGGGAAGCACTGCTTTAGCTAATAATAACTTTATACTTGACAACATGATCAGACATGAAAAAGAGCATGTGTATATGCATTTTTCTTTACCATGATGTACCATATAAAATTTGAGTTTTCTCTTGTGTATTGTAATGTGCACTGTATACTAAGAAATGATTTGGTTTTGTATAATTACAAACTGTCAGTTTTGTATTGAACAGTATCTTCCTAAAAGTTCTTTTATTCCTATGTGGTATTATCAGGTGCTTTGATAACCTTAGAAAAAGAGTAGCAACCACACTAGCAAGAGGTTCAGCAGAAAATGGTATCCAAAATTAAAACTGAGTTTCTTGCCTGACTGAATTGAAGGAGAGAGGACTGGACACAATTTGGTATTGGAAACAAATAATTCTTTATTCATTGGAAGACAAATAACTTGAAATCAGCTGAATGTGTTCACAGGGTGAAAAAAAACACTTATCCTTAGTGTCTGGAGAGAGAAATCTGGATGATATGTTAATAAAAATATCTAATGATCGAGAGAGCTAACTATTATGCAAAAACCAATAGTTTTATCTCTCTCAGAGCTCATGCATTACCCAAGTCCCTGCTGGTCATTGTACAAGTAAACAAACAAAGGATATATTCTTGAGACATCATGTGATTTGCTATTGGTCAAGATTACTGTTAAAATATATGTATTGTATTTGACTTTTGCATTCCTATAGCAATCTTTCCCATGGGAAGGCAGATGTGATACTAAAGGGTAATGACCCAGAACAATAGACAACAAGGACAAAAGCCAATTAGCTAGTTCTCCTTTGTTAAACTTACATGTTCCCCAAAGCTAAAAGAGCAAGCCCAAAATTACATGTCATTGCTTATACTTCCAAATTCCACATTGTGTTCATTACCTTATTTCATTCCATTATGAATTTAGGACTGTATGAGCACAATATTTAAGAGTGTGTGTGTGTATAGAAAATCAATGCTTGAACAGTCAAGCAATACAAAATCAAAAGGAAGTACTATGTTAAAAACAGCAAGTCCAAACCTGTGATAAATGACATCCAAATGAAAAAGAACAAGCCCAAACAAAAATCACGTCAAAGACTACACCAATCAAAAGGATCCCCAGGGTACAGGCTATATTGTTTGATATAAAATGTGCCCTGGGTTTTGGAGGTAACTGCAGAAGTAGGACTCGCATTGCCGTGGGGATACACTGTCTATCAGTCTTAACCTCCGTTTGCTAGTCTCACATGAAGAAATTCAAAAAATAAAAATAAAATAATAAAAAAAAAGTAGAAATTAGGAGAGAGAGAGAGATGTGGGTGTTCTAGCCCACAATGTTCCAACATCTATATCACTCTTAACTGCCTGCAGACAACCGTGGGAAGGTGACTGCTCTCCAAAATTAAAAGAAAATAAATAAATAAAGAAAAACGAAATAAGGTACTACCACTTGGGGGTAAGTAAGGTAAACTTACCTCCAGAGGTTGGCATTCCAGCCCCCATTGTAGTAGTAAAGCACTAATTAGAAGCACGGTAGACAAATTATACGAGTATAAAATTGCAACCAAGTTATCTAAATTAACTAGTATAACTCCCAAACATCACCCATTATGTCAACTGTAACTACCAATTTTTAAAACTCTACAAAAGCCTTTATATGTGATAAGGTGTTCATCCACATAAAAGTAGTGCCAAGTTATTTAAATTACCTTATTAAAACTAAACATACTTATTGGAAACTATCAACAAAATCTCCATAATGTTTACTTCTTTATATTTATTTAATACATTCTTATATTTATTACAGAATATTTTAATAGTTATTCAGAGTTTCTTTATTAAATCCATTGAATATTAATTTTTGCATTAATATTTCAACATTAATAATGAAATATTGTAATTTATTACAGCTTTTACAAAATCTGAATAATTGCAAAGTTATAATACTTATGAAGAGTATGGCACATTACTATCAAAAGAGGGTAAACTGTATATTGGAAAAGAAGAATATTTTCTTTTATCAAAAATATTTAGATTCATAATCAATTATTTTAATTTCAAGATCTAAATAATGTACCTCTGCATTAGAAATTGAAGTATTTTCAATTTTTAATTCTACTGGGTAAATAGTGTTAAAAAATTATGTATCTCAGGATTATTTATACCAATTAAATCATCTATATACTTGTATGTTAAGGCACAATTTTCTGGGTTTATGCAATTTTCAATAAACCTATTCTCAAAAAAATAAAGATATAAATTTGCAGTACAAGTAGAATAGTTAGCTCCCATTGGAACTCCTATGACTTGTTTAAATACCTTGTCATTGAAAAAAATAATTATTATAAATGCAGAAACTTAATATATGTTTTATATTTTTGGAGCTAAATTTTCTTTTTTCTAGTACTGTTCTATTAATGAATTCATAACAGAAATTTGGGTTCTTCAGTTGCTCTTCCAGGAGTTACTGAAGTTTGTACACTAGTGAAGACATTAGGAACTGTGCATTTGTTCATCACTCCTGCTGCAGTGGCTTTCACAGTTGCACATTACCAATATATGGACATTAAAGCCCTCACTGTCTTATGAGACAATCCATTTGCATTTCTGTTTTGCTGGAACTAGATGATGATGTACGACCAAATTATACTCGTGTTATCCAATGTGCAATCATACCTTCTGGGTTCTTAAAGTTTAGTGACACCTGGTGCAACTAAGTGATAAACTTTCTACTATACAAGTAGTTGTGGTAATGTACAACAAATATTAAAACTGCAAGCAGGCAGATCCTCCTTCATCATAAAGTATCTATATTAAGGAATCGTAACTGTACAACTAGCATCTGAGATTACATGTTCTACTCCATCCTGCAATACTGTTCCAGTTCTACTACTGTAGTTTACTTAATATTTGCGGGAGTTATCTTTCCTGGTTTTACATTACATGGAAAAAATGCATCAATTTACCATTACATAAATTTTAGGAAAAATGGTTTTTAGACATCATTCTCTTTTTCTAAAGCAACATTTTTCATACTATAAACCTTTGCAATCACACTGTGCAACTGAACTGATGTGTTGGTGATACTCCTGTTGAAAGCAATGGACTTGTCTGGGCATGTTATGGCTGGTGCTGCAGGTACTTAACTGACTACAGCTTATGTCTCCTCATTGTTTGCTGTTTCTGGATTACAAGTTATTATCTGTGTATAGTATTTTGAGAACAGTTACTCAAATGGCTTGGTGAGTATAAAATTACATTCAGTTTTCTATCAATCTCGAACAACGAACAGTCACAACTTCATTATGTAACCCTCTCAAAATGTCTTTGTGGGAATGGATAAATTTGACGAATCCTCCCAAACCCACAGCAGTGTATGTTCCCATTCATTGTTGTAGGTAAAAAGACTTATTGTTTTGTAATCAACTCACGCATGTCATTTACATAGTGCTGTGCTTCATGAATGTGCTAAAGAATAAATAATAGTTGCTTGTATATATCTGTATGGGTTTTATTTATCACATATAAAGGCGTTTTATTTCACTGGAACTATCATTTGTGGAAACGTACATACTTCAAAAATTGTGAAAATTAATTCCATGCAAATAATAAGTAATTTACAGCATCAGTGGCATCAGCATTCAGGATGAATGGACTCTGTGATCTTATATGCTAACACTGGAGTCTCAACTAATGCATGCTTAGCCACAGTCTTCAGTCCATCTGAAATGAACATCAGCTTTAGTCAGTGCAGACAACAGTCTTCATAAAGAAGTTGCACAAAATGATTTGGAACTTAGGAAGCTGCAGGTTTCTTGTTTTGTTATGGGTTGGAGATGGTGTATGACCACCTCAGTCTTTGGTGGGTTGGTAGATACACTGTCCCTTCCCACAATGTGACTGAGGAATTCCACCTGTGTTTCAGTTTCAAGCCTGTTTTTCTTAACTGCTGATAAAACATACATAGATTTACAGTAGCTGGCTGAAACCAAGACATCATTGACATAGATCAGACATCTCTTCCATTGCAGTCTTTTTAGTGTAAGCTCCATCAGCCACTTGAAAGTGGCAAACACATTAGAAAAGCCAAATAACATGACACAAGATGTATAAAAGCCATCTTGAATGTTAAAGCACTGTTAGGCCTATTTTCATTATCCCATTCAACTTGCCAGTATCAAAATCCATGTCTAAAGTGTTAAATCTGTAGACACCTTCCAATACGTCCAGGATTTTTACGTTCCTGTGGAAATGGAAAGATGTCAATGTGTTTTACCATGTTTACCCACATAAAATAACACAGAACATCAGTATACCCTCCTTCTGCAAAATAACTACAGGAGATGACTAATCACTCTCCTAACTAAGGTTGCATTTCTCCATTATTCAACATATGCTGTCTCTCAGCACTGGGTTTATCCTTAATGCTCCAGGGAAGTGTGTGTGTGTGTGAAGCATATAAGGAAGAAGTCCTGGTTTTCTTACATGGTACCTTTGAAGTTAGGGAATTTTCTTTTTAATTTAACTAACATGGACATGCAACTGATGAATCAAGATGTCTCCAGCAGCACCTCAACCAACATGGGTACCTCTGGAAGCACGATGAGTTGCTATGGTAAACTCATAAGCCAGTTCAGCACTGTGTGGCCCATTATTGTTCTTGTAGCTTTCTTCATGCCTCAGAGAGAGAGACTCATTTACCCCATGGTTCATTGTTTCTTTCTCTCTGTGTTTGTTGTCTCTCCTAAATGTGGGACAGCTTCAGCTGGTGCAACTTCATCTATTGGAGGTACCTTCATTCTCTTTCCTGTCATAGGTGACATTAGCAGTGGGGTTTGATCCAATTTTCTTGGCTACAATCTGGGTGTACTCTATAGAACCTCCTTACTTGGTCTCAGGGACTCCAACCAGCAAGTCATTACTATGACTTTCAGTTGTTCGCGTTACTTGCATATCAAAGTTCAGGTTCAGCAGGAGAAAAGGATCAACAGACTAGGAAATCTCTGCCTGAAGTTTTCCACGAATCTGTGGTTGGCTCTTTACTTGAGTGGTGAAGGACCTTCCGTCAGGTGAAAACTTCTCCTAAACAGTACAATTTTCTCAGATTGTGAACCACCTTTGGCTACTAGCTTCTCCCCTTGCTCATAAATCCTTCATCTGAGGTACAAGCTTGTGTGGGTAACAAGAGTAGAAAGGAGTGCAAAAGTATGTGTTAAGGAAAACATGGAAAGCTCTGCAATAACAAAATTTGTGGTTATGGTACCATAATTTCCTGTTACTTTATTGTAATTCTCAAGTGTTTTGTTAGCTTTAAGAGATAAGACTAGTAACGACAATAGAAAGAGGTTTAGCAGAAAATATCATGGAGAGTTAAAACTAAATTTTCTATCTGACTGAATTGAAAGAAAGGAGACTGGGCTCAATTTAGCTGTTAAGACAAATAATCTTTTATTGAACACAACATTAATAACTTTAAATCAGCTGTATGTGCTCACATGATGAAAGACAACACTTCTCTGTAGTGCCTGGAGAGGGATCTGAATGATACTTTAATAAAATCTCTTCAATGATTGAAAGAACTAACTAATACTTAGAAAATAAGGTCATTCTTGTCAGAGCTTGTGCATTACCCATGTCACTGTTGGTCATTCCACTAGTAGAAATAGGGAGGATGTATCGTCTAGGCATCATGATTTGTCAGTGGTCAAGTTCACTGTCCAAATCTACATAGTGTATTCAACTATGCATTCCTACAGCAATCTTTCCCATGAGAAAGTGCATGTGATACTAAAGAAGGAATGACCCAGATCAATGGAGAAAAGCAGTTTAGCCATTTTTCTACTGTTAAACCTATATGTGCACTAAAATGCCTATTTTTGAACAGTTGTTAATCTTCTTGGTGAACAGGATATTTTAATAAACCCAATAATTGTGAGCTATTTATTGTTTTTATTAAACATTTTATTCTTTGTACTACTATTTAAGAATATCTAAAAAAGAAAATAAAAGTTTGAAAAAATTCATGATCTTGTATTTGTATCACTGGATTGTGTATTGTGGCTATTAGTGTTATTTTACACAAGTTAAAGTTGTAGCTTGGTACTTGTAACTGATTATATACATAAATAACTGTTGGATTTATTAAAGCATTGGATAGTAATATTTTCCTGCACATATTACAGAATACTGTGTTTAATTGACTGACTGCTGATTTGCCGTATAGGGTACGTTTGCCTCTGGCAGTTAAATATGAGTGTGCTGTATACAGGTGTATGGCTTGCAAAAATTTCGTGCACGTTTAGAGCAGCCACAGTCAATGGGTAAAGATACAAAGACTTTGATTTGGTTGAAACTCTCTCTATTTTCACAATATTAGAAGGAAAGACCATCATAACCAATTAAAAACTAATATCCTAACCTGTATGTCCTTTACTACTTGTATTGTTCAGATGAACAGGAGAGTCTTAAAAAAGAAGAAATGCATCAGACTGCCCTGAAAGAAATAGAAGAGTGGTATGCTCGTTACCATGAGCAGATTGAGAAGTCAAAATTCAATAACAGGTGAGGTTTTCCAGTACTGTTCAATTAGGTTAGAAAAAAAATCAGTAAATAAAGTCCTATGAAGTTCTTTTTTTTGATTCAAGTAGAAAAATATTACATGGAATTTTTTAAGCTCTCATTGTAAAATGTTCTCAATGTTATTTCTCTAGAGAAGCGAAAAGAAGTAGATTCATTTTCTTTCAGAGCTTTTCGTTTTTGCTAATGAAGTATTCTGTTTTTTTTTACTGAATAATAATATTGTAAAATACCTATAACTTGCTCTTGTACTTAATATTTTGCTATATGGTTACAGCTATGTTGGTGAATACAGAGTTAAGTTTTCAGAAAATTGGATTTCATTAGCTTAAGTTATAAATTTAACTTGTAAATCATATACATTTTCAAATTTGTGCTAAAACTATTAACTATTTCAATGCTGTTAGTGTAATGTGTATGATTACTCAATAAGTGATAAAATGTTGTATATATAGCTGTGATTTTAAAACCTTTTTCATTCCTCTAGTAAAATGTTAAGAACTAACCAACTTGTTATTGTGTAAGTTGACTTTATGAAAGTCTCATAAAAAAAAAGGGGGGGAGGGGGGATGACCGTGTAACAAAATCATGGGCATTTTAAGTATTAGTATTAAATATAATGTTAGTTTAAGCTACAATTTCTTTTCAAATTAACAAAAAAAGAATGAGTTTACAATTTGACGTGCAGATGTAAGGCGTAGTTCCGGTAATTCAGGACTAATTTCAGCTTGTTAATTAAGAGCCTATCTTAACACTTACCTGCACACTATGAATTGCCATGTTTAGTGTGGTAACATCTTCTAGTATTATGAGTTGATCTCAAGTTGTCTACATGTGTTATTCAGTACTAGTCAAGTTATTTGGTTTGTCCTGTGCTTGTTTGAAATGAATGGTGTGCTATGTAAAAGTAGATTCCACATGAGGGACTTATAATTTAGGGTAAAAGAATGAAGAAAAATCTATGTCTCAACACCTTAGTAAAGAGCAAACAAAGGAAATTTCAGGTTATAAAGCTTGGAAATGGCTCGAATGGGTAATGAAGAAAACTATTACAAGTTTAACATAATAACAAATGTATAATGTTTTCAAAAGGTTTTGTCATTGTCAGGCTACTGTACTGAAACTAAATAAGCTAATTCTTTGTTGAAAATAATCTTTTTTTTTCCCTTAGATTTCATGTGATAAAACTAGTAAAAATTCTTGTTATAGTTTGTGATAGGTAATTCAAGTGAAAACAAATTTGTATTGTTCATATAAAAACAAAGACATAACAACTTACTCTTTCGTAAGAGAACTTTTGATAACATTAGATAACCTTTTGCAGAGATTAAAATGATACATTAGGTGGATTTTGAAGTATTATAAAAAATATTAGAAACAAAGTAATATGAAAAAGTCTTTAATACAGGTGTTTCAGATTTTTTTCTAATGTCATCATCAGTGTGGAAAAACCTATAAGTACACAAGCTTTTATGCTAGAAGTTGTTGATAAGAGCACAATGATATATTTTACAGTATAGGCTAAAAGAAAATGTTGTGTTTGTTGACAGATCTGTCAATCAAACAACTTAAAGCTTACTGTACTAGGCAGTGTTTAAACACCATATGAAAATGCCCAGCTATTGTTTCCCTTTTCAGTGCTTCCTATCTAGCTAGAGTTAGTCATAATTAAACAAGAGTCTTGTTCATGTAAATAGGTTAATGGTCTTACATATTGTCAAACTTTTACTAGTCCATCTCTAGTAGTTTCTGACAAACACAGTTAAATGAGCAAGTTAAGCATTAGTCAACTTTTTTTGAGTGAATAAAGAATAACAAATATTTAATAGCTTGAACTTTTTTTTTTATTAAAGCAGTCATACACTAAGTAACACTAATTATGTTTATAGCTTGTAATAAGAAAGCAATATATTAAGTTAAAGCTATTCTGTTATTTAGACATACAAGGTAAACTCAAACAGGCATCACTGTAGCTAGTTTGTAACTAATGGCCATGATGCCACATACTCACATTCATCAGTTGTGTACAAACAGAATACATGCATACAATCTCACCCAGTTGCACCAACAGTAGTAATAATGGATAATATTTTGGTTGTTTGGATAGTTCAGTATAATCAAAAATAGTAATACTTGGAAACTTGATTATTTTCATTGAGTACGACACTAATAGATTGTGCTGAACAACCTTGAATTAATTGAAAATAATAATGATAAATCATATTGCCATATTTCAATTACTTGGATGGTAGAAACTTTAAATTTGATTATTTTCATTGAGTATGACACTAATAGATTGTGCTGAACAACCTTGAATTAATTGAAAATAATAATGATAAATCATATTGCAATATTTCAATTACTTGGATGGTGGAAACTTTAAATTTGATTATTTTCATTGAGTACGACACTAATATATTGTGGTGGACAACCTTGAATTAATTGAAAATAATAATGATAAATAATAATGGCAATATTTCAATTACTTGGATGGTTGGAGTAATCACAAATAGTAAAAAGTGGAAACACTAATTTTGATTAGTTGATTATTTTCAAAATGTTAATTGTAATTTAAATTAATTTATTATTTTACATGAGATTAATCAATTTTTATAGGTAATTGATTTATCAAGTTAATTGCCCATCTCCAGTTTAACATATAATTATTTTTCCTGATTGTTCTAAGGTATATATAGGATTCACTACTAGTTGACTTTCCATCCTTTTAAAAGTTCACATAGAAAACAAATATATACTTTTCTAGTATTGTCTGACTTATACAGACATCTTTATGAGCAAGGTGAATGATGTCATACAGTTAACAATTCAGGAAAGTTTCTTTATTGCCAAACTGAAACCAGATCCTAATCACCAGCACTGAGCTTCACCTTTGTAAACTCTTTTTTTTTTGATGAACAGCTTGCCAATTATTAATATTTTTAGAAAAGCAAAAAATTTGTTTTGCACGTGTTTATTATCCATGATAATAATTATTGAATGACTTCATTCATTAACATTTTAGGGTCAGTTATTTTAATTATCTCATGAAGTAATGGTTACTTATATTTAAATCATACTTCGTATAAAACATTGCAGTGCAAAACAACTTGAAAATGATCTTACATGTGAAAATTGCTAGTATTTGGATCATTTTTTTTGCATCCATAATGTATCAATTATTTCCTGTAAATGCATTTCTTAACTTCCTATAACTGTTTGAATTTTTTTAAGTACATAATTTCATTATGATGTACTTGTGAAGGTGTCCATTACAGAAATACTGCAAGTTTTTTTTTATCATTTGCTTTGGTATGTTTATGTAAATATATGTGAATCACTGTTGAGACTTGATTAAGGTATTAATTGAAACATTCTCTCCAATTGCTTTTCCATTTTGCAGGGAAGTGTCTAAGTAAGTAATTATTTTGATTAAAATAATTGGAAGCTTGTATGATGCTCATAATAATATGAAATTAATTGCTGCATGTAAAACTGGAAGCTTCTTCTTTTTAGGGCTAGAACTTGGTGGTAACTAAAGCATTTCACTTTTCAACAGATGCAGTGTAATTTCTTTTTCCTTGTGTTGAAATCTCAGTTGTTATATAAAGTTGAACGATACCTAGAAGGATAGCACCTTGTACATGTTTGGGTGATTTTTGCACAAGTGTCATTAGTTTGCCCATTCATTTCTACACAGTGAAAAACTTATATACCACAATTATTTTTTCTTTGATTGCTTGTTTAGGGATGCATTAATCTTTACACAATTATATGAATCAATTTCTGAACCATCAATATTAATTTTTTAAATCAGTTATATAAAACACCTGAATTTTCACTTTAGGTGAACAGTTATTTGTAGATTAATACAACCAAACTAAGTATGATTATGTAATACTAGTGATTTCAACAAACATGTTTTTAATTAGTTTGGCAAATGTTTTTCTCACCCATAATCAAACATTAAGAAAGAAAGAAAAAATAACTCTAGAAAAACCTTGTTTAATTTATTAACCAGAAGTATTATAACAGAAAGTTAAAAAAATTTATTTTTCAAATTGGTAAAATTGAAAATGTTAGAGAATATGCAATGCTTTTCCCTATATACTGTCTTCAGGTACAATAAACACACCAACTTAAAAACTTTCAAAACAGTTGCTTTATTGATGTATATATTATTGATTGTTAAGTGATGGTTTCTTTGGCATGTTATAAAACTGGGGGTTGGCATTTGTGTTTGTGCACTTTAACTTCTTCAGAACTAAAATCATCATATCTCAAGTAAACTACCTTAAATACACCAGTGTTTATGAATTTGTTTGAGACATCGTTTTTAGCAAACAAGAAACTTTGATTGTGATCAGACATTACAAGAAGTTTTCAATTGAAATATCCCTCCCACACTTTTGAACAATTGTGCACTTTTCTCTGGTTCAGATTGAAAGATAAAATTATGCAACAAACACTTAACTATTCTTTTTAAATTAATGTCATGAATAAATGAATCAACCATATCAGCTGACTAATTAATAATTTCCATGAAGCTTCTTTAATTAGGGAACTGGTATACAAGCACATTTTAAGACTATTTCACTTATAACACACTAGTTTTCAGTAGTTTTTTTGGTGTGTTGATGACGAGTTGAGTTTGTTTTAGTGATTTTCAATATTTAAATTATAGTTACAGAACAAAGGATTCTTATATACTTAGGGTTAATTGCACTTTATAAGAATGATTTTCTGGTTCTCATCATGCCGTTTGAACTACTTCCCCATTGTATACAAACACTGACATCCAAAAAGTGCTTAAGCAAACGAAGGCATAGAAATTCCTTGGAACTGCATCAGAGAACTTGACAGGTTTGTAGCTGAATGAGATCACTGTGATTCTATTTTCTTCTGCCATCTTTCACATGAAAATAGCTAGCTAGAAGCCACATAAATGCCGAGTTGTGAGTCTTCTTCAGCTTTAAGCCCTTGTTTATTGTATTATATTTTATAGTTACTAGGAAATATGCTTAGCTTCTTCACAATGGCTATTGGGGTCTCTTTATAACCATAGCTTTCTCTATATGGATGAGTGTAGCTCCAAATAAGACTTGGGGTTTGATTTGAAGTTTGCTGCTATCCTAATTTGTGCAAGTGTTTCTGGAGAGAACACTGAAGGCTCTCCCTTTTCAAAATGTTGACCTTTGGCTCTACATTACCAATCTTGCTGCATGAATATCTTACCTTTGAAAAAAAAAAAGAGCCATTATACTTACCTATATTCATGGTTTACCTGTGGTAGCATTGCACTGTTGAATGGTTAGGAAATTGATGTGAAACAAATGTATAGGTACTAAAGATGTCATTCATGGCACTATGGCTAACATGTATGATGATATACTTCATTGTACAGTACAGTTAACATTCCACTTTATTAGATGCATTTTAACACTAAAAATTTTATGTATCGACATAGTTTTTGTTGAGTGATTTGTTTTTGCTTTCCAAATAATTGTGAACTGACATTATACTTGTTTGAAATCTTAACTTTTATGTAAGAATAAGAAAGGGATAAATGCATTGGTTATTGATTTAATCTAATTACATAATACATTAAATATTTAAAAAGAGAATGAAACAGTTTTATGTTGAGAAGCCACTATTGAACGTTTCTACAAATAGTTTAAGAGAATTTTAATATAAAACTTTCATGCTATATATTAGCATGCATTAATAATCTTGCCAAGATAAATTTTCTTTTTATCTTTTGAGTGTCTTGTAGGAATGCAGAAATGGAGTACGTTAATGAGCGAGATACACAAGTACCTACAGGTCAAGAATGGGACAGAATTTCCCGTATGTGTGACTTTAATCCTAAGGCATCACGTGGTACAAAGGACACTTCCCGTATGCGATCCATCATACTGCAGCTTAAACAGACACCACTAGTCCATAAGTCTGGGGCTAAAGTTTAAAACTTCCAGTGTCATTTCTGAATGTTACATTCCAATATAGAATTGGTGACTCAGCATCACTTGTGTGATCAGAAGTGGACAGCTGGTAGAACGAGTTCTCTTTAATCAAAAATATGTGTATAAATGTATAACTGATACTTGCTTTAAGAAGGTGATGTTACAATGCAAAAAGTAACTATCTTGTATGATATTACAATTTCTTCATATTAGATTATACAGTGTAAAAAGTCTCAATTAGGAGTTTCCGTAATAAGCATTACCATTCAGTAATGTCAATTCAACTTCTAAAATAAAATAATTGTTTATTTAACATTATTACAAAGTATGAATAATCTCTCTGGTCTTAATAAAAATATGATGACCATGTTTTATCTATACAAGTCAAAGATGTTTGTGGTCTGTCTTATATAGGAAATGTATATGTGAACTATCAGTAAAGAAGGTGTATTATTAGTAAAAGAAAATAAATTGTAAGAATCAAAATAGGTATATTTTCAGTATCTTGTATGCCACTGGAAAACAAGTTTTGGTTTTGTAGAATAATAACTCTCCTAAAATCAGTTTTGAATGTCACTTAACTGAAGTGTAATGCCCAAAACATTATTCAACTGTTAAAAAAAAGTCAATGAAAGAGATTTTTATTTGATACCTTCTACATTAGAAATATTGTACAACATTTACACAACATTCTAAGACTACACCACAAAAGCTTATTTCACACACACACAAACAATGAAATAAAAGAGCAACAAAACTGGCCACATCTCTGTCCAGAAATTTGGAAAAGTTACCAATCATTTACATATTTATATACTAAAGAAGTCTGCTTACACAGCTGTGTAATTTTATATGTTCTATAGATGTACTCTTCTCTATCATTAATGTTATAGTTGACATGACTTGTTCTTGAATGCAGTTTTCAGAAAAGGTTAGTAAATCTTTACATGAGTTTCATATCCAAAAGCCTTCATTAAGTATTCCTTCAACCTTTTTGACATTTATACAAATTTAATCCCTGGGCAACTTTCAGTTGAATTAGCCTTTGCAAAGAAATTCATATGGACCACACACACACACACACACACAACATAGCGTGTCACTGGTTTAAAATTTACACAATGTATGGTATTTTTCTGCAGTGCTGTGACAACTGGCAATAATTATTACTTACACATCTTAACTCTGTAATTACTATTCTTACAAAAAAAATATATATATATATATATATACCTTTCAGTGAACTTCCTTCAACAATGGACTGACTGTAGACCACATACAATATTTTGTGCTTTGCCAAGGGTTTCCATTGCACCAAATTTCTGAAGAGATCATTACAAAAAGATAGGAACCAAACCATGCCTTATATAAATGATTATATTTCACATTATGTATATATCCATTTATTTCTATCTTAAAAATTACATTAATGAAAAAAAAGCACACATGGTTGCATTAAATCTTACTCCATCCATATTTTTTCTGACTTGCTAATAAGAACCTGAAGAGACTTTTATTTCTAAGGTGACTGTTGTAAGAATTATATAAAACAGATTGTCAAAAGTATCTGAGTATGTTATAATCAGCTGTGCCAATTTTTAACTGCACAATAATAATGATTCCATAGACTAAACTTCTCACTAGCAATATCTCAATAACATTAATGTCAGTTGCAATAACCACTGTTTTATATTATACTCATTTGTAACATCAGCTTAGTGAAAGAGCTCTTTTATTATGATTCTCTTTTTTTTTCCTTCCCATTTTAAAGTAATGATTTTTTTTAATGTTTGTTTGTAAGTGTTTCAGTCAAGTGCACCTCATATCTCAGTGTTAGTTTTGTACATAAATTTTATTATGCTAAATGACCCATTTTATCATGTCACTCAACATTTATTGATAACAATGAAACTTACAAAGTACCAGATAAGCCCTAGTTTTAAACTTTTTTGATGAGAAATATCAAAATTATTAATTGGACAAAGACATGGCCTGAGAATATGTTGGTTGATACAGAGAAATTACAATCCACAAAAGAAATCTATCAGGTTATAATACAACAAGAAAAAAGAAACTGGAACGCACTTTGTCCAGTCAAAATGAACACAAAAGCAATTTAAGTACTTATTAGAAGTTTTATTCTAAACATTTCAATTTAACTACACTAACAGACACAGTAAAAACAAAGCATGTTTTTCCTTGGCTATGCAAATAATAACAATAATAAAAAAAAACATTCCACACTTGTACTAGTCTTTAGACAGATAAATGGGATCGGCAAGATGAAAGAATGATTCATTTACAAAAGGCAACAAGGTTTTTTTTGAAAAAGACTAAAGCAAATGTACAAGTTTGGTTTGATGGAATACTACAACTGACTTTTTACAGTGTGTGTGGTCTTAAGAGTGAACTTGCACGTTTCAATTTACAAATTTACATTTATACAAAGCTCAGTATACCAAAAGATCCAAAGAAAAGATAAGCAGCACCTTGTACCAGGATGAAAGTGAAAAATTGTTTAAACTCACTATTTCATTAACATCTGATATTATGATATTAAAAAAAATTATATTACTAATTTACATAGTAGATTATTTATAGATCTTGCACAGTATTCCTGTCCTATTCAAATTTTACTTCAACAAATACCACAGTAATTGCTTCAGAAGAGATTTCTTTCTACATTAACTAGTCTCTTTTGGCCACATATTTCAATTTTGTTGGTTGGACATTTACTAAAGACATTCACATTTTCACACTGATTGGCTTTTAACAAAATATTGAATGGACTAATTAAAAACTCTTCTAATGTAAGATAATTACAATTATATCTTCTGTACAGTAGACTATATTACACTTTGTTTACATTATAATCTATTGAAAATTAAAGGCTAAATTAACCACACTTAATACTACTTTATATTTCTTTCAAATGTTCAAAATCCTGTAATCAATTTATACTCTCTGTAGCTACCTACATACTTCCATTTTTCTAAATGTTGAAAATAAAAATAATGCTTAATTTTCATAAAAAAGAAATGAATTAAAAAAATAACAACAAAGTATATTACATAAATACATGTAAAAGCCTGCATTATTTCTGTTAAGACAGTTTATACTTTCTACAATTTTACCATAGTCTTTACATTAAGAAAACAAACACTCAAGTATTAATTACAGTCCAACGTATGAAAAAAAAAAATCACCATAACACCAGGAACACTAAAGCTTCAATATTTAATGTGAAAAAAAATGAGCTGTTTGAAAGTCAAATATCTTGAATGGCACATTAATATTCTGGGAATTTTTAATTTACTAATGAGAAATACTGTGCAAGATCTAACAAGACCATAAATTAAAACTAAGGCAATTTTTAGTTTCTATTACTAAATGTAAATATAATGAAGAAGGTTTTAGAATTTGAAATTCTGCTGAACTAATTACAGTTTAGCCTAGTCTCACTTTAATTTGCACTTTTGTTTTTTACTATAAAGCAAATGAACAGAAGAAACACAAAAATAATTTAGCTATCACATTGTATGCATTTTTCACAACTATAAGGAGGAAAAAATATGAAATAGAAACTTTGATTTTGAGGTTAGTTGAAAAGGCTTCTTATGAAATGTGAAAAAAAATGAATTTTTTTTGTCAAGGCAACTTTTTACTTTCTACAACACTCCATACTGTGCACAAAATACTCATGGTTAATTACAGTTCAAAATTTGAAAAAAAATTACAAGTGGATACAAAAATACAAGGAGAACTACACTTAGTTCTAAGTAACCTATCAAGATGATACAATGTTATTACATCTAAATACCAAGCATTTACATACATATATGTATAGATAGATATAGTGAATTTAAGATAATACTCACATAAAACTGTTACACAACTTTACTCATTAACAAGAAGCATGTGTGTGAAAAAATTGTCATCAGGATGATTCAGTTTTGTATCACTAAAAACAAAGTATTTTAAACAAATACAGTTTTCTTCAACCAACATCAAATACCAATCAACATATGTAATGGAACATAGCTAATCTATAAAAGTATAACAATCTACATAAGTTTAATTAATATATAAGCTGAACCACCACCACCACAACGTGTAGTTACACTATCCCTAGGTTTTTTTTTCTTTTCTTGTATCTCAAAAAGAAACATGAAAGATACTATTCATACAGTTAAGTATATCCTGTAAAAAGCCTAGAGCTCAACATTTTGAAGCAATAGGAATGGAGCTTACTTGATACTTTTTAAAAATGTAGCTTAACTGAAAAACTATTTAATCCGTCATCAATGATATAACCTTCCTTACTTAGAAATTATAAACAAAAATATGCTTGGACTTCTACTGGAGTAATATAAAACTCTCCTAATTATTTTTTTTTAATAATGCTAACAACAATGTTGAATAAGCTACAGAGGAATAGAGTAGGCTCTTTTACATCACCAACTATAAAAGAAAATGTCTACATATTCAAAATCTCAAGTGGTAGCACCAACAAGAAATTTAAGTTTTAAATCTAAACCTCTGATTTTAATGCTTTAATTTACACATCTATCCATACACATTACAAACACAGACATAAAAACTAAAAGCAATTGTCAAATACAGCTAAACAGCATTCTGAATATTTGTATCTTTCATGGAATCTCTTCTGATATCTGAGGAACTTGGTGATTTAGGAGGGTAATATCACCAAATGATGGCCAAACCTTCAAAACCTATTAAAAGGCAGGCACAAGTAGGTATTGAAATATATAACATGTTTGTTATAATTACAGTATATAAAAACACCTAATTCCATCTTTAGTTTCTGTTTAATGACTTACTGCCAGTCCGTGAAATACAATTTTAAGACACAATTTAGAAAAATGTATTACTGTTTTAACTTTCAGCAGGTATAACTGTCTACTAAATTCAAGGCCTGAAAGTAATTCTTACTAAATCACATGGGTGGTTTGTTAATACAGTTTTCAAAATCAATTCTTTTAGATAGCTTAGTTACAAAGGTATTTTAACATTTACTGGACAAGTGGAAAAAAATTTATTACTTTGCACAAATTACACCTTATAAATGCTTTCTACAGGTGGGGATACAAACTTTTACAAACAACTACAACTTCCTCCCAGTGTTTCACATATGCTTGGGAAATCAAGTATTTGAAACAGTACACCACAGTTACACATGTTGAAAAAAATCTGTCATAATGGCAACCACAGCAATTGTAATTAAAATATCAATATATATTCAGTCAGTTTTAAAAATGCAGATTTTAAGACACAAACAAAGGCCTTATCGAAATGAGAAATTAAAAAAAAACTTAATTTTACAAAGCAATTAATAGCTGTATTTTTCATCATCTTCAGAAGTCTACAACACAGTATTTCAATGCTTTAGCAAAAAAGATGCAACTTTAGCTGTAGGGTTTGTTTCTAAGGGGCTCCAGCTTTTTACAGATACAAGAGAGAATTTTTTCAAATTTATTACTTTCAACACAAAATGCTTGTAATACTTAACACTGGGTTGCACCAGGTAATTTTTATCCCTACTATACTTTACAATACAGAACCAATAATTACATAAAGATAGGTCTTTATGAGCTATCAAACGCATTGTTCCTCAACAACCACTTAACCTGCACCACATGTTTAACTTACAAAGCTGCTGACTATTAACACCCAAACAGCTCTAAAGCATTCAGCACTCAACTAAAACTACTTGTCTGGTATGTTGTCCCATCCAGCTAGTCACAAAGCTCCATTTTGAGGTGGCCCAATGGGACCAAGATCACTGGTTTTCATCAGATGCTTCTCTAGCTTAGCCAGAATGTGTTTACCGTAGGTGTATTTCCGAAGTGCTGTGATATGGGGACGGATCTTGTGCACCAGAAGTTTACGCTGAGGGAGCTCAACCACTTCAATCATCTTCTGAACAACATAGTTGGCATACTGGTCCTTCATCATAGTGTATAAGGCACTGTGGGGACTAAAAAATTGTAATTCAAGCAATACATGAAAACATTTAAAACCTGAATATTTATCTATATAATTTGTTTATTTGTAAAAAAAGATCTATTTTAAAATGAAAAATAATTACACCTAAAACATCCAGTCACTTTGCCTCTGGCAATCTCCAATGGCCCGAGTCTGACCCTCTGGTTATTTAGTTGAATTGTGGTGATTTACAAGTGCAGATGGTACATAACTGACTCTTTCTGAGAGGTTTCCATTACAGGACTTTACAATGCCGAGTTCACTTATTCCCCCATAATAAAAGCATGCAGAATAAAAACTTTTTAGCATTTTAAGGAAAGGGATATCTCTTGCATTTAGAAATAGTGATAAAGCAGTGGAAAGGATGAATCCAGAAAGAAAAACACTGGTTACTCCACAACCAGTTACCAATTACACACTGGAGGTGGTTAAGTAAGTTACAGTTGTCATCAAAAGTAATCAATTACACAGTGAAACTAGTAACTTCATTTGGAACTGTGAACAATTCACATGGATTTATGTCAGATCATATACAGCTGAATGGTAGACCAATTATCAAAAGCTATTAATGCAATAACTATTTTCATAAATCTACAGAAACAAAATTTATTCTCCATAAGCGTCCTTAATGCTTTGATGACATAGTGAAAAAAACAACACCATTTTTAACAAAATGTGTAACCTGTAAACAAATGAAACTAACAACTTTAGAACAAATGCATTATTTTAAGCATATTAATTTTCAGCAGAAATCTGCAAGTATCTAAGGCTATTAGTGACTGCAGCATTGACCCATTAATGCACTTATTTTCTTACCCTTAAGAGATAACACTAGAATAATTAAACAAGTGTAATGATCAGTAAAGATCACTTGCTGAACAGCACATGTAAGAAATGTGTGGTTACCAGTTGCAGAGATTGCAAGGGCAAGCTTTTTTGACAAAGTGAAGTGTTTTATGATCATTGGTATTTGATTGTTGTTGAACAAATTTAAGTACTACCTTACAAACTGTGAGAGCTGACTTCTTGTACCAAACATTTATGAGGTTACTTATGAAATCTACTTAAAAGGTAACAAGGCGACTTTCTTCATTTTATTACAGCTCATAAACAGAACTGGAATATTAGAGTATTTAAGAATTATTTACATTTTTCACTATCAGTCAATGCACTAATTTAACAATTTAAACATTGTTCTTTCAGATTAAAAACAGTTTTCTAGTTACTTGCATGAAAAAGACTGGATAGAGTTTCCCTATTTTTATCAAAATTACTTGCTCATTCAACAACTTTTCATTGGGAAAAGATAATGTGAACAAACTAAAGGGAAAATAATGCACAGCAAGAGAAATATAACTTTTCAACTGCAGTTTCACTCATGATCTAATATGATCAATTTTTGACCTAGATACTAGATATTAGCTCTGGGTAATTAACTCTTTCCACACGAGCTCAATGGAATTTACCGAGTTCATAACAATTTTGTACTTGGTAACAGTTTCCATACTATACATTTTAATACAGTATATGTATCTTCACAAAATTTGGTAGACTTTCAGTAAATATTACAAGACATTTGAATACAAAAAATTAGCTTCTGTAATTGAGTACTGTTAATAAAGATTTGTCTGTGAATATATTGAGTAGTTCTGTTTACTAGTCCCATTGCAAAGTTATTTTCATGTTAAGATTAAAAATACTTTTATTCACCTGAAAATTTTCAAATTTCATGTGGAATTTCTAAAACCTCCTAAGTAATTATAAAAATGTTATTTTTCAGTAAAATTTTATCTGATATTTTCTCTACCCTAACTATATACAAGGTTGGTCAATTTGACTGACCTCATAACCATCTAAGTTTTTCTTTTTAGAATGTCTTCAAATTGTAACATCAAACTACATTTGTTTATCTTAAATAGCTTTAAACTTGTAATAGCATATATCTGTTTGTACTCAAATTATATTGTTTTATTGTCCATTGAATGTGTCTAAGTTAATACTCTTGCCACAAAATTTGTAAATTAATTGGTAAACATGAAGCTCATGCTACCCTATCAAATTACATAATGCACACATAAACTACTGAAAAGCGTACCTCATGAAAACTTTTTATTATTATTAGTTATTTTACCTAATCTAACCCAAGTTCCTATTTTTAAAATTTTGTTACTTTTATATATATAAAAAAAAAGATTACACACGAAAAACAAGAAATAAAGTACTTAACTGAGTCAAAAAAATTCTTTTTTTTCCTATCAACCGTTGATGACACTTAACCCTACTTCTTTATACTAATGATACTACTGCACTAAATTTATATAATTAAATAATGCACCAAAAAACATAGAATAATAACATTCAAAAACCAAACAATGTCCCATAATTATCCTAATTTTTCTGACTTTCAATCTATTTCAAACTATTTCTTCAATGCGTTTCCCATGGGATGGGAATAAAGTTTGAACCGGAAGTGAAAAAGAATTCTCTGGACAGAAACAATGTTATATGATGTCGTTTGATAGACCAAAACCTTGGCTTTCTATTGGTTATAAATATTATAGTATTAAACAGAGAGAACTCTTTGGCAATTTGTGAAAGAGAGGATGTAACAGGTGGGCATGGCAAGTGGACTCTGATTTTCTACTTTATGGCTTTGTAACCAATTAAGATTAAAGTCTATAAAAAATATGCTTTGCCTGAATGATAACAACTTTATAATGAATAATTTACATTAAATTTCATACATTTCTGAAGGGGTGGTAAATAAATTAGAGGATACCTAGAGAGCAAATGTCAATTCCCACACTAGGAAAAATTTTGGATTTTTTTATATTCCCTTATAAAATTAAGAACTTAAAACTTGCATAATGTTGAAATTTGGATTATTAGCTATTTTTTTATGTCAAGTTTATTTATATACTATGAAAAGAAAGTAGTTTAATTAAATTTTGAATGTAACTTATTAATACCTCCTGACATGTACATGAAATGATGCCCGTTCTGAAAGAGTTAATGGATTACCAATGAGCATCGATTTGTGTCACATAAAATAATTGATTAATGTCACAAAAATAGTATACTAATTAAAATTAGTGTTTCTAATTATTACTGCTTTCAATTATTCCAAATACTTAACTTTTATGTGAGAATAATCAATTAGTTGAATGCAATTGATTAACCCTTTTGCTACTGCCTTGATGGATTACACAGACCACAAGTTTCTATACTATAACTTTTAATGTTCTGTTTATTTTCATGAAATTTTTCAAGCTTTTAATAAACATCACAAGTCTTTTGTAGACAAAAAATTAGAATTTTTAATTAAGTAGTTTTACTAAACATTTGTCCGTGAATACACGGAACAAGAGTGTTGACTGCTCTGAGTACAAAGTGATTTTCAATTTAAGATTAAAAATACTTTTCTTCATCTCAAAATTATATAATTTTATTTGTATAATCTCTAAAACCTTGCAAAAAAAAATAAACGCTTGTTTTCACTAAAAATTTATATGTTATCTGTTATTTTCTCTACCGTAACTCTATACTGGGTTGGTCAATTTGACCAAATTAGTAACCACCATAAAAAGAGAAATAAAATGAGTAGTATCTTTTTTAGTATTGACCATGAAGTTCCAAGATACTTCTAAGAGTTTCTCTTCTAACTTTTTCACATCTATTTCCTATGTTTATTTTACTGTTAGCAGCTGAAGTAGAAACCTTCCAAACATAAATCCCCACTTCTGCAATTAGATTGTAGTTCTATTTTATTATTTTATTTCTTTTTTTAAGGACGGTTTCATTTCTACTTTAGGAATTATAAGAAGTTTTAAGGGTAACTGCCTTCCCACAACTGGCAGCAGACAGTGAAAGGCAGTAGGAGTTGAGACATTGTAGGTGTAAGCACTCAACTCCATACCCTTAATTGATTTTCCATGCTTGCTGGCTAGTTTAAAATCAAGGTTTGGATGTTGTCTGGTAGATGGGATATCCCCAGCACATTTGGGAGCTATTACCACAAGCATCATCTGTTATGACTGGAATTAACAATGGATTTTGCTTAAACTTCTTAATGATTATTTTACATTAAGTTCATTATTGTTTTATAGTGCTGATTTTAATTGCCTATTAACAATTAATGTAATTAATAGTATTGAAGCTATTTTTTCATTATATTAATATACATCTATTTGTTCATAAATGCTTAATTTTTAGTTATTTTTTCTTAAAACATAGAACAATAAATAAAAAATATGTAAAAAACTGATTTCTAGTACTTACAATGTTACAAAATTGATTTTTACTCGCCCATTGTACTTGCTAAGCTTCACTGTTAAGTCGTTTTTTCTCTCAAGTGGAGGGGTAAGATAAACTAATTTTTGTAGATTTCAAAGATGCATTTTTGAAAACCAAAAAATTATCAAATTAATATTCTGGTACACATGTAATCACTGTAATTTATCTGGCTTTCTAACTAAGCTATATGTGGGTTAAAAATCACATTTCTGTACAGAGCAGTGACTTAGTCATCAGAAATTTCCACTAAAGCTCCTGCTTTCCCATTCAAGCCAGTTACAAGCAACTGTCAGATTTACACAGTTTGGAATGTGCTCTTTGTATTGGTTATAAATATGTACTTAAACGAAGAAGACAAAAGTTTTCAAAAGAATGTAATAATGTATGGTATGTGTAATACAATATAAATTGACCAATAAGACAAGATGGCATGCAACGCAACACACACAAAAAAAAAAAGATATTTAGCATTTTGTTTTAATATTTACTTTTTAATTCAAAAATTAAAACATATATAACATTAAAATATTAATTATAAACTACCTTTTGATGCCAATTTTATTTACATACATTGATAAAAAAGTTATTTTATTATATTTTGAAAATAATTCTTAAACATCATGACATGTGCCTTTTGACCTTTCCATAGTGAGAGGGTTAATTGTGCTCAACATCTGACCACTTTTTTTATATTCTACAAATTATTTAGCTCTTCTGTCTGCAGTGGTTAACTCTTTACTTGAAATTCTTTTACTATATCACACATGCAGATACGTCAACTTAATTATCTATAGATATAACTTTCATGAAAACTTCTATCTTAATGCCACACAAAAGAACTGAATGTAACTAGATAATCCTATAAATAAAGGAATTTTGTGGATTACTTAGTAAAACTGTTTGATATTTATGTATTCATAAAATAAACCTGTAGTCATTGCTAGATTGTTTTACAAACTCACTAGACCACAGCATTTTTGAAGTGAAGGAAGATGTATTTTGGAGGTTTGGTTAAAACTTTTCAAATGCAAAATATTATTTAACCCCATCACTACAGGTTTTCCTTTGGTCAGGGGTTAAAGGGCATGTTGTCACATTTGTAGATTTACATTCAAAATTTTATTGAATGAAAAAAAAAGCACAACTTATATCTATTTCCTAATTTCTTTAGCAGTTACAAGGTTGGTTAAATTAATTAAACCCATACATAGATACAATAGTGAACATAATAGATAATATATATACAAGTTTGATAATTATCTGGAGGTTATTAGAAGGTTATAAAGATTTCGCATATGAAATCTGATAATTTTATGATACGTAAAAGAATTTTTAATCTTAAATTAAAAATTACTTTGCATATTGGATAGTCAACATTTGAAAAGAAAAACTGCATGAGCAAATCATTACTTAACAAATCTTAAAACATAATTTTAAAAAATCTGATATTTTGTGTATGAAAGCTTAATATTTACTGACCATCTACAAAATTTCGTAAAGATATGCATACTGCATTAAAAGTTATAGTACAAAAACTACAACAAGAACAAAATGGTTACGAGGTCAGTCCCTGGGACTGAGCCAGTAGAGAGTTAACAAATGTTAAAATTTGCACAAGCTAACTGATGGTGGAATTTCGTATCAACTGCATACTTTTTATCTAAGAAACAATTATAAACATCATTATTTTTATCACAGAACAAGCTCAAAGTTGTGGTTAAAGATACAAGAACTACCAACAACTTTCTGACACTGAAGTTATGATTTTGCCATTAAGAATATACACTGCCAAAACTTCCTGCCCATTCTCTGTTGTACTAACAACATCAAACTCTTGAGGATGGAATGGCACTTGACAAAAACAGTTTGCAGAAAGTATGTTCAGAATGTAAAAGAACAAACAATCTTTTTCATTGTAACATCCTGTTTTTTCATTTGTCAGATAAAACTTTTAGATTCTCAGATATAGCTAGAATGTGTGCACAGAACTACATAGAAGGAACTTTCTCAAATAACAACAGACACACATGAGGAAGATATCGAAACTAAAAATCAAAAGTTGCAAATATTGAATGATCTTATCTGAAAAATTTGTTTCAATGTTTATACCAATAACAACCCACTTCACAGCTTTCCTACCTCTGCCATAGAAAATATATCATTCAAAACATTACCTATATTTAAATAAGGTATTAAAGCTGACACCTTTATTGGGTGCTATAACAATAACAAGCACTATTTAATAATTAACACCTAGAGAAACACAACTCACCCATCATTGCAACTGCAGACTTCTTCTATTAACATGGCTCTTTCAGCTCTTGAAGAGTTGGTCACACACTTTTCCACTACATTGCTGTAAAAATAAAATTCTCTTTTGGAACTTTAAAATAATCAAATTTGTGGCATACAGGAATACCTATTTCTTTGATCATCAAAAAATAATCGTTCCCGAGTTAAAGGTATTCTGTGAACTTGAAAGATCACTCATTAATCTTAAAACATGTTTTAGGTTATATATTTCACATGTAAAATTCAAGTTTTTAGCAAATTACTAAAATTTAACATATTAATGGATAACAGTTGAAACACAAAAAACTGTTGAAGCATTAGAAACTAGTCCTATAACTTGTGATAAAAATCATGTACCCCGTTTCACCAGCTTTCATCATTTAAATCTTAATTTCTAAAATATTACATATAGTGTTTCAGAAAATCTTTTCTCTATCATTGCCCAACCCACTGTTGAGTTCTGGTACTAAATACCTCTTAGGCAGTAACTTGTAATTTTTTATACATCTCTGACTTGGAATCCAAATTACAAAAAATATTTCAGCCATAATATGAAGGTATAAATGTGAATGAAATAGTCAACAGATTTCAAGATTTAACTTTTAATTGAAGGTGGTTTCCTCATACATAACTTTTAATTAAAAACAGTACATAAAAACATATGATTTTTTATACTTCAATGATTTTATAAGTCAAAAATACTGAAATTGAATTTTTAATAATTATAATAAAAATAATAGCTACAAAACCAAACAAAAAATCTTATGTCTAATATTTCATTTTAGCATTAACCTCAAGTTATAATTTATTTGTGTAAAAACAATTAAATTATAAATGCAGGATACCCACCAACAACCCACTAAACAGTAATAATAGTAATAATTACAATTAACTCTTTAAACCCATAATTTTTTGTGTGATCTGCCAGAAATATTTTCATGATTTCCTAATAATTATCAACATACCTTATAAAACTTCATATTTTCTGAATTTTGTACTTGGTAACATGGTTTGAATTAGTTTTCGGCCAAAAAAATATAAATTTATCAGACACTGTCACCGTCCAATAGGTAAATTGAGATTTTCAGCCAGACCCTGGAAGTGTCTGCTCGGGTTTAAGGAGTTAATTTTCATCAGGTACATAAAAATGGATTCTTCCAAAAATAAAAAGTAATAAAAAACAGCAACAACAAGTCAAACCAATCTTACACCACACTTCAAATTCATGTTGAGTTGTGAAGAAAAGAAAGAATAACAAAGCATAAATAAAATTTTCCACCAACCTAGCAAACTTATGCTGAGACAGTGGCAAAACCTTCCCACGAACCACAGATAATATTTTACTTTTGTCATCAGGTCGACCACGCTCCAGGACATGCTGGATAACATAGTTACCATACTGATCCTGGACCAGCTGCTCTGTATTTTGATGAAGCTCTTCCAAAATTGGGGTGGTTTGATCTGGCGTGCAGTGCTCCAGAATTCGTTGAATAACTCTACAACCATATGGGTGTGTTGACAGGGCAAACACCTTCAACAATGAAAAACAAGTAGCAATTCACATTCATTTTCTTGTTTAAACTTGGAACATTTCATTATGTTTATATCATTAAATACTTGGTCATCACTTACTAACCTGATAATAAATGTCTAAAAGTAATTAGCAAGCTAACTAAACATATGATGGTCAAATATCAAGAGTTGTACCATAACTTTGTCTTATACAGTAAAATCTTACCTGTCCTTGAAAAGCATTGATAATAAACTGCAGGGCTAATGGGTCCACACACTCAATACATTTCTGAACAACATGGTTTCCATTTTGATCTTTCACACACTTCAAGACATGCCCATCAAGTTCTTTAACAACTTCCTTCTGTAAAAATATATCTTTGTTATAACATGGCAAGAACTGGTAAGACAATAATATAACCTACAGTGTAAAGACACTGAAAATTATAAAGCAATTTTCTGTGCTCAAGTAACTGTATTATTAACCCTATGGCCACTGGTTCTTATATTGTAAGGACTTAACATTGCTAGTGGTATATTTCATTCCAAAAATAAAACTAGCAGATGAAATTTCAAGGAAATAAAACATTTAATTTTGACCTTTTCTACTATTTCTAATTACAATTTGTTATTTAATGTAGTTATTTGCACTGACTCTGAATAGTTCACCTGCAAGGTAATTTTGAGTATAAAAATACAATTTTTTTATCTTACAGTTTCACATTTCATTTGCATAATCTCTAGGACATCCTATATGAATATCAAAAGTTGTTTTATGGTAAATGTTTATATTATCATTTTCTCTACTATATCACTAACTCTAGCTATAATCATCAATGTATAGTGCAATGAAATATTTAAAATTAAGAAAAGGAAATATGTACTTACTTTCATAGGATAGTGTTCATATTGTTCAATCTCCCATGGGCACCCATTGACATGTGTGGATGTTAATAATTAATAGGAATTAACAGGAAAGGAAAACAAAATATTAAAATTAACTATTAGTGAAAAGATAAAGACATGAAATTATGCATATGAACCAAAGAAAATATTTTTAGAGCCTATGGCAAAATCGATTTGTACATGCTTTGTGTTCTAAGACTTGCTGAACAAAGGGTACATTAAAATATATTTAGAAAATTATTAAACATTTCAAATATGAATTTCAAAATACAAATAATGCTTGATTAACTAAAATATAAAAGTAAAACCTAGATATAATTTAACTATCTCACTAACTATAACATACTTAGATATGAAACAACCAAAGTGTTATTGTGAATTAAGCAGCTAACAATAATATAAGCAGTTGCATGTACCCAATGATACCAATTTCATACTAAATATAACTGTTATTAAATTACAGTACAATAAAATAAGCTCTTTCCAACAACTATAAACACATGTACAAGCTACATGTACTTACCACACCAAGCTCAAGGCTAACTATAAAAGGTAGGCATAGTATCCATCAAGGGTTGACAAAATTTATTACTTGTTTCTATTCTTCTGCACTTAGCCAATGAACATTTAAACACAGGTATCAATATGGCAGATGAGCATACATTACTGTCTAGACATAAGTGTACAGGACTACAGTTGTGCAACTCTACATATACTTTGCTGAAAGTTCAAAATTGTTTTTAGCTTGTGCATCACGTGAAAACAAAACAAGTTTTCATTATTGCTGTCAATGTTTCTTTTGAAATAAAGGAATAAAGACTAAAATAATATAAAACTCTGAACTATAATATACTTCATAATAATAATTTCATTAAAATAACTTGATGGTAAAATGGCAGAGTGAAAATATTACATTCATGAGGAATTTCATCTTTTTAGTTGCTTTCCCAATATAGAGTGCATGATCCACCATATTTTTTTAGTTATGATCAATGAAAGTGAACATATTGCATGGATTATAAAAAAACGACAATTCACGAGGAAATGCAACTTTACATAAAGGAATGTAATCTCCTGATAGCTTTTTCTCAAGCAAATATAATTATATTTCATTATTTCTATCCTTGAGTGGTTTAATTAAACTTTGAATGTTAGTCAGTAACATTTTGCGATAGGTGCAGAAAGGAATTTAAAAAGTCCACCAGGATTCATAGGGTTAACAATCTGCTGGGTAGTCAGTACAAACAAATCTCAAACATAATGGTGAACAATTCCAAATGGTCGGCAAGCCAAGAAGTATGATGTGGTTAGGGTGCAATCAGACTGCAGAGTATGTGTCTCATCTTAACTCAACTGGAAATACAGGTTCCTTCTGCAGGAGAAGGGCACACTAGCTATTTCAGCCATTGTCCTACTTCCCACCAGTGCTGTGCACAATCAGTGAGGAACTTTCCAAGTTTCACCAGCTCAGCAACTAGGAAATGGTAAATGGCAAGAGTTTCCCATGCTCTACTAGAAAAAGGAAGAGAACTTGATTTAGGGAGACCCAGAGATGTGCCTAAATTCCTATCAGATGACTGCCAGAAAGGTCTTTGAAGGTGCAATGGGTGACCTCGAAACCCTATTTTTAAAAGCCGATACGCATGAGTCAAAGAAGTGGACAGAACACTTCCCTGGTGCTGGCTTTTTTCCACGATAGTCCATGGAAAGGTACAGTTTGGATCAGGCAACTGATTAATTGTAGTACCACAAGGATACCTCTAGTGGTCTTGCAGAATCAACCCATCTCAACAGTGGGAACTGGTGGTTAGGGCCGATGGATTGTGTGCTTTCCATTACCCCTGCAGTTTTTGGGAAATAAACATATCTTGAAAGACAACACCAGTCACTTGGTGGGATCTTATAAAAGGGAAAAGGGTGTTGAAAAAGAAAATGTACTTAGCCTTCTCAATAATGGTATGTAGTGTTACTGAAAAACAGCAACTGCAGGGAGTCCAAATCCTTCAAGATATGAAACAGCCAGATGAGGAAGATAATGGGATACAAACCTGTGCAGTTTCATCTACATGCCATTCTCAAGGATCTTGTCAAAAAGGTTGGTAAAAATGTGATGCAATGAAACATGAAATGATGATCAGCTTCCTGAACAGCCAAGGTATTAGGAAGAAAGGCCCAGTTGGAACACAGGAGGAAGTATGTTGAAAGAGTGCAGGAAGCATCGATGGTATATACATCCAAACAATGGGACCAATGGCAAGGAGAAGAAAATATTGCTCCAGAGGAAGAAGGTATAATAAAAATGAAGCTAATGACCAGAACAGAGAACATTTAAGCACAGTCAAGCATGGGAGTAGGATGAGGAAGTCAGTAAAAACAAGGAAAGATCAGAACAAAGGAGTGGACAGAAAAAAAAACTGAAAGTAAGAGGAAAGGTGAAATGTACTTGATAAAGCCACCCAAGAACCAGTAATAGGGAAAATTGACAATCCAAGGTTGAATACCATGTGAAAAAAGGCCAAAAAGTGAGCCACAAGAGGATGACTCAGAGGAAAGGAGAGGCTGATGGACCAACATCGAAAAACCTACCACTTTCACTGATAGACAGAGAAGAAGGATGATAGGAGTGGGATAAGAAAAGGGCTATATGATTGGAGAGTTCAGCCCTGCAAGCAATGGACTGGACAAACCCCACAAGTGACAATGAAAGAACAACACCCCTGGATGAAAAAGAAAGATGGTTAGAATTAGAAAGTGGGAATGGAGCAGAGGAAGAGGAGGCCCAGATACCGACGACAAATCAGAGGATATGAGGCTTGTGCCAGCCAAAGAGGTGTCACCAAAACAGGACCTGACAAGGGGTGAGAAACAGGAGGGGAAGTCTAGTATTAAGAGTGGCAAAGGCATTGATATGAGGTGTGCCCAATTGAGCAAACCCAATGAAAAACCTGAGGGTGGAGAGACCACTCTATGGTTAGAACTTTCTCCAGCAAGAGAGTCAATCTGCCACCACATTTAGAGCCTCTGGCACATGACAAGCCATGAGATGAATACAACGGGAATAAGCCCAAAATGAGGAAGCAAAGAGTTCTAAAGTGGGTGGTATCTGCTTGACAGTTGATGTAAGAAATGATAGTGGAATTGTCAAAGTTGATCATGACCAACTGATCCACGAGAAGAGGGAGGAAATCGGAAAATGCCCAATAGACAGCAACAAGTTCAAGGATGTTGACATACAGTAAACAATCCTCCAAAGCCCACATGCCCAAAGTCATGTAGTCATTCAGAGATGCCCCAGCCAAACAGAGGTGCATTTGCAAAGGGATGAACATGTTGTTGGGGAGAAGCAATGGGATGCTTACTGTGGTGTTGGAATGATTGAGCCACCAAGACAATCCTCAAGAAGAGGAGAAGGGAGGTGCATGTTTGAGGACAATGGATCACAAGAAAGATGCCACTAGGTCTTCAAGTGGAAGAGGCACGTGTATGTGTGAGGCCTGAGTGAATTAATGGTTCAAGAGAAGCCAGAGTCTCCAACAGTAAAGAACCTTGGGTACTGGGTATAAAGAAAAGCACAAATCTTGGTGGCAAGACATTCTACTGTTCATAAATGAAGTGGAAAAGGATGACCCCAACTGAGATGGAAGTGAAAGAATGAACCCAGGTGTACCAAATATAGGGCAAGCATGAGAAAGAAATGGAAGGCTTGATGAGCAGCCTCCTGCAGTAGAACACAAGTATAAGAAAATGAAATGTAAGAATGGAACCTCAACCCCCAACCTATGAACAAGGTGGGTGAATGCCCCCATGATTTGAATAAAGACATACAGAGCAGACACAGTGCCAAAAGGAAGAGCACAGAACTGGAAGAACTGATCCAGACGGACAAAAAACAAACAAACTACATTTGGAAGATGGGGCAAGTGGAATGTGTAAAAAGATGTCCAAAATCTCAACCCCAGTCATCCAGTCTGGGTGAAAAAAACCAAAGAGAAAAAAAAAAAAAAAAA